GATGGCTTTTTGCTGCCTAATTCCAAGCCCGACGTCAACTTCCGAAACTTATCTTCCTGTGACACTGCGTAATGCCCCAAAAGCACTGATTTGATTTTGTCCAACTTGACAGTGGCTGGAGGGTTTTTATTACGCTCTCTACCACAGCGAGCGTATCTTTAGTCAGGCGGCTGATTAACGTATAATAACGCGAACAGTCCGATTTTATGTTACGCGAATGGAGTTGGGCTTCCAGCGAAATAAACCATAAGTCTGGCCTATCTGGCCGAAAATTAGGGTATCTCCCCTTGCGATCGCGTTCACTTGTGTGTCGTTATTCTCTTCCATTGCTTCCATTGCTTTTTTTCCGACCACGTGTTACAACAACACGTAAAAAAAATGGTGTGAGCGCGAAATAAAACTATCGCGTGAATGCCGGGGTCACCAATTGTAGGTATTTATGTACCAAATCTAACCTACAGAACTTATTACGAAATAACAACACGGTTTAATTAACAAAGTTTTAATAACAGAAAAAGAATAGAAATAACAATTTAGGGACTTTACGATTCGCGGTAGACGTGTACGCCTACTTAGTCCGGGAAGAAGTGCTAACAAAACAACTACGCTTCCTTCTCCTTAAAACTGCGGAAACATCTAGGTATCAAAATCCCTAGATGTTCCTCAGTTAGCGAAGGTGTGAGGGGAAAACTATTTTTCTTTCTTTTGACTTTGTTCATATTGTTGCGGAACGCATCGTGCGGTGATAGGAAATTTTCTGACGTGGGTAAGATGCCCGTGGAACGCTGAACCACTCTGCCCTGAGAGACGCGTGAAATAAAAATTCGAAATACTTTTAGGAAATAGCAAAGACGTTTATTCAGTCGACTCGTTTGGTTTAAATCGTTTCGTAGTTCGTTACCAGAGGTTCGATTACGATTGAACTCTCCGGAAAATCCTCGCTCAATCTGTTGCGTCTCTCCCTTCTCCGGAAGATTCCCGATCCTCCCTTCGGGTTGTCCTGGTCCAATCGGTGGTTGCGCCCTATTCCTTCTATTGGTGACCTTCATCGATCTCGGATCCACCCCCAAGTCGGGTGGAGGTGGAAGTCACGCGGCCATGTTTGTGCAGGGCTACCCTCTTATTACCCTCTTGAAGAAGTCGCCGGAAACGCGAACCGAGGTACAGCGCGAGTCTGTTATTTTCAAGGATCTTACGAGCTGGAACAAAAGCTAACTCGACTCAAATTTTAAAGAAATGCATTCCAACGGAAACGGCGATTCGACACGGCCTATAATGAATCTATTAAGTATTTTCAGCGAACGTTCCCTTTTCTCTCCTGACTTTCGACTTTTCCACGCTTGATCACCCACGTTGAATGTTTTAACAATGTACGTGGCGGTTCGTTGATTCAATGCGTTAATCCATTTGAATTCCGCTCCTAATTTGAATATAAATATATTCTAGATGCAGTAGTGTTTAAGCTATTCCGTGTTGTGGCGCTACATGCCATGAAGCTATGCCATGTGCTAAACGGCCGCGCTTGAACGCGAATAAGCGACTCGACGTGCATCGAAGGACATTGGATGCGGCCGCTTAGCTCGCAGCCTTCGCTACCACGGCCGCTCCAACGGTATACGCGCGCTCTGATTGGTCGGGGTTTTCTGTTAATATCTCCTCAACAAAGCCTCGAACAACATTTTCGCTAAGGAAAAAATTGTTTCAAATCACCTTCCGAACCACCTTTTTCAAGGTATTACAACATTTTTGGGACACCCTGTATAATGAAAAATATAAGAAATAACTGGTTAAATTTTAGGAAATGTTTTTAAAACTTTTATTTTCCCTGTTACGTATACGGAAACTCTCCGTTTTTAGAAGCTCGCGTTCATTAATCTTATTTTATCTACTCTTCTGGAATTTGGAGCTCGGTCTCACTGGAGTGCATCCTGCACCTGCATTCTCTTAATATCATCTTTGACTCGCGTTGCGTGGGATACTTCTAATCTACCCTTTTCCCAGGGCACACAGCTGCCGACCTCAGAGCAACGAAAATCCTAACCGTCAAATTTCCTAATATGGAAATCACTGGCGGTTCCTCACCAACATTTAGGGGTATATAAACACACGATTTTTGTTGCTCGGGGGCTAGTACGAAAGAGTTATTCGTTAGAGACACATTGATCGTCTGTAGAGTACTCTAGTGAGATCGGGCTTCAGTTCCTTTCAGGATTTTAATCCTAGCCAATGTAACGATCCCACAACATAATAACTTTACCGCTCGAGTTATTATTCTATTAAATTAACAAGTTGCGAGGCTTTATTAACGACGCGTGTTACATTTTAACGATACGATTTAGTCATTGTGTACTCAACCCGAACTCCTAAACTTAACCTATCCTGCGGTTACCCTTTACTGGGAGATACCAATTCCCAGCAGCTACCTGACTTCGCGTCAGAGGCGTCTGCGTTTGTCTTCAATAACCAAGCCAACCAAACACCTTAACCTACGGTTACCCTTCACTGGGAGATACCGATTCCTGCAACTATCTGACTTCGCGTCAGAGTCGTCTGCATTATTTACTCTATCCTCAAATCTTCGGCTACATTGACACATACTAATTAATCGTATCGGTCCAATTCTCGAATCCACCCCACTCGCAGGGCTCACACGCGCGTCGCTATCGCCCTGGCTCGTAACATCCCCGACTTTTATACAAATGAACTACGTACTACGAAATGTAATATGAACTTTATTATAACTGTTAAAATATAACTAATTTAACACAAAAGTTGAATTTCTTTACTTTAAATACAAGCTTTTACAATAGACGTCTATACTAGTTAACGGTCGCTATGCGAGTGAGTATTAACAAATTGTTTTAAATAAAATGCAATAAAAAGAATACGAAATACCGTAAATTCAAGAAAATCGTAGTTGGCGCTAAACTAACTTCAAACAGAATTGTCAAACGCAAAGGCTCATTCACATTCCGTAACAACGGGCAAACGGGTCTCCGCTGCCATCTAGGAGTGACATGGGAATTAATTTATCTCTATCAAAAGTAGCGATACGCAACATTGTATGGTTTTTATGAAAATGCGCCACTTGATCAATCGATTGTGAAGTGTCATCAGGGTTGACACTCTTTAGTCACTTTTCGTGAGACTTGTTCGTGCCGTGAACACCTTTTTGGTTCGGTAAAGTAACGGTGTAATCTGAAAAATGGCATGGTTATGCGGTCGTGCTGTTTTCCAGACATGTCGACGTACATTCTCCCTGAACGCTGTTGCGTGTTCAAAGGACAAAAGTAAATTACAGATATTCTCCTTAATTTAAGAAATCGAGCTTAAGTTTTTGCGTCTTCGTATTACGTAATATAATAGTACAATTTATTATTTCTGTAACATTTGTATTAAGTACAAATAAAATTCTTATTTATAATCATTTTTCGCTACAGCATTCGCTGATCCATTGGATCTTGCTACGGGTTTGGAGAAACGGGAATTACTTGCTGCTGCTGCTGGCAATTTTGTAAGTTTTTACACTACGTAAAAATCAAGATAATGTCACACTTTGCGCTCATGAAATGCACGTTACTTTCAACACGGTAGCGAGTATAATAATATAATATATCATTTCATTCATTAAGTACTATATCATGGATCGAGTAAACTATTTAAACTGTGATACATTCTTTTTATTGTACTTCTTTTATTAGTTATGAAATATCGTAATTTTCTATCAATTCTGTATATAAATTAATAAAGGGTTTTCCACTGTCCTTGAATTCGTTTGAAAATTCACTATTCATTAATATAAAAAAATCTTAATTTGAAAACTTTAATATATATATTGCATGAATCTTCGTACCAGAAAAGTATGTGTATTTTTCTTATATTATTATTACACATTGGATAATATTTTTGATCAGAAGATATTAAATCCTTTTTCTTTAAAAGCAAGTAGTTAAATAAGCATGTGTGTTTATGATTTCCTTTTTCATTCTCATATTTCTTAAGTATATTTCAAATCTTTGCAAAGTAAAACGCATTTCAAAATGCATATATAAATGAATTTATCATTACTTAAATGAACAATGGAATCTTAAATTTTATTGAAGTTTATTTAAGTTGAATACATTAAATTATAAAGTTCAATTTATATAATTTTCTATTGCAGGATCCATACAACATGAAAGCAATACAAATACAAAAGACTAGCTCAAAACAAAATCCAAATCTAGTACCTAGTGCATTCAAAAGTCGTATTGTTGGATGTGTTTGTGAACCAGATGCTTCTCACGTTAATTGGATGTGGTTACACCAAGGCAAACCTCGCCGTTGTGAATGTGGTTATTGGTTTAAACTTATTGAAAAAGCACCTCTTTAATGTCATTTCAAGTTAATTAGTGGATTATTTAAAACATAGAATTAATGTTATACAATACCAAAGGACTGCTTTTCATTTATTACCCTTCCTTGTCCCATCATTGTGCTTTATAAATTAATAAGGAACTAACATGTTAGCATATAAAATTCAGTAATAGAATTTCAAATAAATTGTATAAGTATTACATGCATTTTCATTTCATAGCAGATCCAATGTGAATATTTCACCTGTTATTTATTACAAATATTAACAAGATATTGGTAAGTTATAAATACTTCTATTACGTAAAATGTATTTTGTTCATATAAATTTTAAGAACTAATACAACAACACTAGATTACTTCATATTTCAATTAATTATATGAATTTTTATTATACAATTATTATGGAAACTGTAAAGATAATTAATAATGATATAAATAAATGTTAAAAAAATCGAGAAAATACATTGTTCTGAAGTAAATTCTCTCTGAATGATTTTTCTTTTAGAATAAATAGTGGTATCAATATAGTATGTATTATTAAAAATAATAGGAATTTTTTAAAAGATTATACTCACGTTAATTACTTATCCATTTTTTATTGACATTTTATTTTAACTTTCATATTATAAAAAAAAATATAAAATTTATTATAAAGGATTATAATTTTGGTAACAAGTATTTTATTAGTACACTATATTAATAAATACATTAAACTTAATCTAAATAAGTAAGCTATATGTATACAGAGCTTAACATACGCTTATATTGAATTAAATTAGCTTGATTAATTACATGCCGATGGTAACTATGTTGTGCTATTAATTTTATAATTTCAAAATAATTTGATTACATCAGTGTGTAATGACACGTACTTACATTGTATTAAGTTTTTTGAAACAAATTACAAATTCCAAGATATTGTATCATTTTTAATCAATAATATTTACACAGATTTGTTTTGTTTTATACAATGATTAGCAAAACATTGTTACAAATTTCGCAAAATTGTACAAATTAAAATAATTAGATATTTATACATATTTGATGAAAAAATGTTGGCAGAAGATTATTAGATCTCAAATACTAATTAGTTATACATGAACGAACTTTATCCATTTAAACATTGTGCTTCAAAACTTACAAAGCAACAATTATCATATTAAGTGTAACAAGAACATGATTATAACAATCGATCACTACAATAGTGTCATTCAAACTATAAATTCTTCTAATTTGCCTTAAATCATTATGTTTCATATACACATTTCACTAAATAATATATCAGTTATTAGACACAGATAATAAACTTGATGTACACTTTAGTATTCCCTTTGAAAAGATGTGGGTCTTGTAGTTATTAAACAATCAGTCCTTGGTCTACGAAACAGTAGCACATGAGGTTCTAGAAATAAGTTACATTTAATATAATTACCATTATTTTATGTGGATTTATAATTTAATTATAATAAACATTCATTGTCTGTATCGTTATCATATTAATATATATATTTTTATACGTTAAAACTTAACAAATAAAAACCTAATATTTTTTTAACTGCAAAAACATAATTAAAGGATTTTTAATCGTTGTATGTTTTTTTCTTGAGTATTCTCTTAGGTACAATATCTTTCTTATAGATCGGAAAATAAAAAAAAGCTTGAAACGGAAAATCGTTATTCTTAATATTCGTCTTATTTTGTTCATACAATCGCCTCCATTATCATCAATAAATAAATGTTTTTAAGTAACAGTGTTTATATAGTGATCCCAATAAGTTTTTGAACAAAAAAATTATTTCATTCTTTGTTAAATTCATACAACATATTTCTAGGAAAATTTGATAACTCCATTGGGCGGACAACGCCCTAGAGGCGTTGAGCATTACCCTTATTATCAATCAAAGAGAGGGGGTACCGCCTGCCATGAAAACAGCCTGCATAGTAGTTACATGTATGTATATAGTAACCGTAATGTTCCATTTATGAGTAGAAACATTTCATTGATAATTTCAGTTTTAAGTTCAATACCAACGAGATTTGTTTACGATAAAAATCATTGATTCTTCAGGGGAAATATATGATTAGAAAAACCCTTCTTTCTTGTACTTACTCGTGTGTAGACATGTTTATAAATAAATATTATTTATGCCAATTACAGTTTCAAACGAAAGAAGGAACCTTAACAACAGTTTTTTGGTGTACAATCGTAATTTTACTGTTGGTAAGGAAATCATTGTTTTGATCTCCTTTTTATTTGAATATTATTCTGTGAAGGTTTAAATTGAATACATAATTATATTTCTGTAATTCATTTTCAGATTTACCATTTTATGTTATTTACAGCGTAGGTATGTTAAATTATATTTCCTCTTATGATTCACATAATTTAAATCATAAATATAGTTTTCTACGCAATTTAATTATAGTTTATAATTAAGCAATATTTGATGAAATAATTTTAGTTTTTATTGTTTCTTAATTATAGATACTCTGTTTATTCTATTAATTGTTAAAATTAAATTTTACTATTTTATATAACATAATGTGTAAAATTATTAAAGAAATAACAATTGTATACGTTATCATTTATTTGTTATGTATTAATATTTCAGAAGATGTCTTTTGATGGCAGACATTTTTTGTGTATCTCTCAACCAAATGTAAAAAGAAGAAAGAAATTAAATGACTGTAAAGGCAATTCTCAAGAAGAAATTAAAAGAGAATTAGAAGAAGGTAACTTGTCCAAAAACGAAAATACGTTAGTTTCTGAAGATTCGATCAAGGATGATGATAATTCGGATAAAGATGGATTTAATTTTCTTGCTAAAATTTCATTAGGTGTTGAAGAGTGGTTGGACGATCCTCCAGAAAGAAGTAATATACAATTTATTGGAAATCCTGGATTGAAGGAATTAGTACAAGACCAAACACCTTTCTCTTACTTCTCCCTGTTTTTCACATCAACATTTTTAGAACTTTTAGTAGCAGAAACTAATGCTTATGCTGAAATTGTATTTTTACAAGATTGCGGTGAAAGAGCAAGAATTTCTGACTGGAAAGACACTACCGTAGATGAAATAAAAATCTTTCTGGGAATACTATTTTTGATGGGACTCATCAGAATAAATCGCATGAATGATTGTTGGAGGAAACATTATTTGTTCAATCTACCTTTTGGAAAATTTATAGGTCGTGATCGCTTTTTATTGATTTTAAGGTGTCTCCACTTTGATCGATTACAACACTCTGATGATAGTTTACGTAAAATAAATACTATAATTACTTATTTCAATCAAAACATGGATAAAATTTATAGTCCTTTCAAAGAACTTTTGATAGAAGAAAGCATGGTTCTATGGGGAGGGCAATTAAATTCTAAGAATCATCCATCTAATAAAAAACATAAATGTGGTATAAAATTGCACGCCTTATGTGAACCATCTGGTATAATTAATAAATTACACGTACAAGGGAATTCAAGTACTGAAAACGTAGGGGATAAGGATTGTATCAGAACAATTGTTGATAAGTTATTAAATGGGAGAACAGGCCAGGGTCATGCAGTTTTTATGGACAGTTACTATAGTAGCGTGTCACTAGTTAGTGATCTTCTTGCAAATAAAACTTATTGCACTGGAAGTTTACAACCAAAGAAAATAGGTAACCCATCCGAAGTAATACAGAAAAAATTACAAATGGGTGAATTCGTATATAAGTATAACAAACAGGGAGTTTGTTGCTGTAAGTGGAAAGACAGAAAGAATATTTATAGCATTTCAAGTGAATATGGAGGGGAACTTGTAAATGTTAAGAACAAACAAGGAGAAGAGAAGAAAAAACCACAACTCATTGTAGAATATAACAAACATATGCAGAAAGTTGATAGACAAGATCAGATGCTATCATATTATCCTTTAACCCATAAAACTCTCCAGTGGTACAAGAAACTGGGCATACGTGTAATGCATATAATGCTCAATAATGCTCACATACTTTATAATAAATATAGTGGAGCCATAAAAAAAGATTTACATGATTTCCAGTTTGAAATTGTCTCAACATTATTGCCTCCACCAGATCAAAATATTCCATCATTTTCACCACAATTTAAAGTACATTTACCAGAATTACTTCCAAAAGGGGCGAATAATAGAATTATGAGAAGACGATGTAAATTATGTAATGATAAAAAAAATATTAGGTTAGATACAATTTATCACTGTTCAGATTGTCCATCAAAACCTGGCTTGTGTTTAACCCCATGTTTCAGAGAGTTTCATAAATATAAATAAATTAATTTAGTACTGTACTATAATGTGCTGGACAATTTTTAAATGTTCGGAATATTAAAATAGATCATTTTAATATTTATATTTGTTACGGGACACTGAGACTGATTACTTAAATACATTATTTTTTATTTTCCTTGTATTACTTTACGAATCATATATTTAATACATAAATATTATAAAAACTTCTTTTTTTGTAGTGTATTTCTTATCTATGCTTTTACTTTTTTACTTTATTTCTGTCACACTTTTAATCAAAATTTTAAGTACATTAGTCTACTAGTGAACAATAATACAATTATTTTATGAATCAATTAAACTCTTTAATGAAAAGCTATTACCAGAATTGTATATCAATTTATACATGATTATTAAAAAAAAAACTTTTTTATATAAACAGTAAATGTGTTACAACTTTTTCGAACCAGCGATTTATATGTCAATATAAAGTCAGATATTGTATAATAATATAATAAATTTTCTAATATTATTTATTGCGATCAAATCAAGACATATGATGAAACAAAACATTAAACTTAAATATTATTATTCTGTGACTACAATACGTAGAATAATATTTCCATAATTTTATTCATTTAACTTTTACATACTTTGATAAAAATATTGTTAAATTACATACCTGGCACATGCATCATATAATGGACCCAACCAGGACTTTGTTGAACTCCCAAATTTCTCCATTCAGTTTCTGACATAAGATGAGTTTTTGGAACATGCCTCGCTAAATCAAGTGGCAAAATAACATGCCTATGAACAAGCAGTAATTTACACAAAATTTTAATTTTTGTTGTTACAATACAAAATTCTGATTCCTATGTCCAACGATATAACAATAATACCTACACCATTATATTACACAAATTATTCATAATATTTATAGATTATTGCTGAAATAATCTAAGCTACTAAAAACTAATTGCTTCCAATCAAATTTGATAAAGTAGCCACTTTATAATTTCTTCATTTCAATATAGAACATAGGAAAATGAGGTGCACACAAATTAAACCCCGATACTCACAAAAAGTTACTAATATACTACAATATTCTAATAATATGTCAGTTATTTGTGTAACATTTTAATGTATATTAACTGTATTTTTATACAAACCTATATTCATATTTATCATCACTGTATTTTTCAGAATATTGTATTTGATCAACTGGCATTTTGAATCCCACAATGTAAACATTTGTTACCTCTCTTTCTTTTTTTTTTTTTTTTAAACTTGTCTTCTTAGCAACTGTATACAAATGTACACTAACAAACTTCACCTTATTTTTGGATGTATTAGCAATATTTCGATGTCGGTGTACATATTTGGTACAGGGTACTAGATTTTTCAGAAAGTAATAACACGTAATAGCAGGTATTCGCGCCAATTCGTGCTTGTTCGCGCCCTTTGAGAAACCGATGCGCCCTCTTACAATGTATTTTATATTAAATTTCGAGCAATTTCGAGAAATCAAGTACTTTATAGTCTGTATAACCATTGTACAGCGTGTCCCAAAAATGTTGTAACACCATGAAAGGGGTGGTTCGGGAGGTAATTTGAAACAACTTTTTCCTTAGCGAAAATGTTGTCTGATGCTTCGTTGAGGAGATATTAACGGAAAACACTGACCAATCAGAGCGCGAGGATGCCGGTGGAGTGACCATGGTAGTGAAGGTTACGAGCTAAGCGACTCTCGTACGCGAACAAATGACTCGACGTGCATCGAAGGACATTGACGCATGTGTGTGAAGTTAGCCTCACACTTTTCGAATTTTCAGTTTTTCTTTCTTGTGCCGTATTGTGTTATATATGAAATCGAAATGAACTGCCAGTAAATGGAGGTGCTTTCCAGCATAGTGAAATTCGGTGCTTTCCATCCATGCGCAGCTAAAATGCTGTGTTCAACAGTCCGAACGTTCAGATCCTAATGACAATTCATGTAAAGTGACTGCTCCGCACTTTGGCGGTGAAATGAAGAAGCTAAATAGCGCATCATCCATAAACTGAGACTGTTTAGAAATTTGCCTAGATTTCCGCGGCCTGGAAGTCAAATGCTTGACGTGGCCAGGCAAGGCATTCTTATGTCATCAATACCCATACTTTCTCTCTCATAAAGTTTCAGGTAATTTGTCAATTTAAAACTCTGTCAACATAATGAGTGCACTTTCATTGTATTGGGTTTTAAAATATTTCTAAGGTCGATCGATGCCAATACCTTTACTCTTACAAGCTTTCAGATAATTTGTCAGTTTAAAACTCTGACAATATGAGTACACTTTCATTATTTTGCGTTTTAAAATAATTCTTATTCATCGACACCTTAACCTTGCCTGGCCACGCCAAGCATTTGACTTCCAGGCCGCGGAAATCTAGGCAAATTTCTAAACAGTCTCAGTTTGTGGATGATACGCTATTTAGCTTCTTCATTTCATCGCCAAAGTGCGGAGCAGTCACTTTACATGAATTGTCATTAGGATCTGAACGTTCGGACTGTTGAACACAGCATTTTAGCTGCGCATAGATGGAAAGCACCGAATTTTACATTGTGTTACCCAGTGTCGCCATTGCACTGTGTTGGAAAGCACCTCTATGTACTGGGAGTTCATTTCGATTTCATATATTTTTCTATTTTCTTGAAGTTTTTTATGGGGATCTTCTACTTTTCAATGATGACTACTTGAGTCCTCTACTTTTTCATGTACTTGGCGTAATTTTTTTACTTTTTTGAAGTTTTTTTATCGGATCTCATTTTTTTTACAAATCATTTACAATATAGAATCTATTTTAAATTTATAAAAATAAAATTGATATTTCTGTAAACTCTGCATAAGAAGTCTAAATTATAATTTTTTTTTTAATTGAATAAAGTAAAATAAAGAGAGAGGGAATAACAAAATCGAATATATATATTTCATATAATTTATTAATTATAAACATTCGTTCAATTTATTAATAATTATAAATACCTGCAATTTTTTTTCTTGCTGCAAGAAATTTTAATGTTAATGATGAAATAAGAAAATGACTCCATTTCTATAAGCTCTACATAAGAAGTCTAAATTCAAAACACTTTAGTGGATGGATTTATATTAAAAGCAGTTTTCTGTATGAATAAAGGTATCTCGCAATTCAGATTTTGACAACTTACCTTGTAGTCAAGATCGATCAACACTTTACAACACTGGCTGCAATGTGTTATTAAATCCTACATAAAAAGTCTAAATTGAAAACATTTTGCTGATATAAATATAATTAATAATGCAATAGTGTAAAAACTTTTGACACTATATGCGGTTTACATCAGAAAAATGTCTTTAAAATTAGAAAATATTGCAGGCGTATTGAGATATTCGTGAAAGAAATGTCAGGTTAGGTTGGAATGAACCATCTCTCCTGTAAAAGATACGTGGTAGCTCCAACGCCAGTATATACGCGGTGACGGATAATTTTTCATGTACTTGGCGCCGAGACGCTACCGCGTCTCTAGATATTTGTGTTGAATTGTGCCGTAAACCGCAACTTTGTAAGTCAAAGCGTACTCAAGAAAATTGAACAAAACAAAATTTTTGATAGCCCCGCACTTTTCGAATTTTGAGTTTTCTTTCTTTTCTTTTCTTTGAGTATCACCATCAAAGAATATGCGTGTGCGGGGGGAAGCATAACAAGTCCTAAGGCACTGAGATACATCTCCAGAATTTCTAACGGAAGAATCTGTATCTACCTTGACAAAAAGGAAACAGTAGCCAGCCTCACCGATAAACACAAGGTAATAACTATCAACAACATTAAAATAGACATAAGACCATTGATAAAACCGGCACAACGCATCATCCTTTCAAATGTTTCCCCAATTATACCGAACAAGTCAATAGAAGAAATCTTCAAGGAAAATAACGTAAGTATCTGCTCCAAAACTACATCACTGAAAGCAGGTATGACAGATCCCGAATATTCTCATATTCTAAGCTTCAGAAGGCAGGTCTATGTTAATCCGGAAGACGCTCAAAAAATCCCTGGTTCATTTACCGTTACATATGAAGATACAATATACAGAATCTTCACAACAACAGACAGTTTAAACTGCTTCGTATGTAAACAGGAGGGCCACATAGCTAAACAATGCCCCCACTATCCCGCACCGAACAAAAGTGCCATGCTAACGGATGACACCAATGCTACCGCAGATCAAACGTCACGTCTTACACTCCTATTCTCTCCACGAATTCACCAATACACAATCAAACCACCTCAGAATCTGAAGCAGTAAACGTAACTACAACAGCACACGTACTCACCCAAGGCACAAAAGCATCAACAAATACAGACAGGATAATGGAAACCGAGCAAATTGCAACAACACCGACCATGACCCGATTTAAAAGACCACTCTCAGAAACCTCATCAGACCATCCACTTGAATCGATGCACACCGACGGAACCAATTTTAGAACACCAAAACCAACTACTACGTCTAAAACACAAAACACAACTAACACTAAGAAAAGACTAATAAGGCCAGTATCACCCAGTCCCCCATCCAAGACAATAGAGGAAATACTCTCTCCAGCAAAAAGCGAAATCGAAGACCCGGAACAAAATCATGTCCTCAACTACCATTAACTAGCAAGCTTCCTGGAAAACGCATTCGGTGCCCCAAACCCACTCAAGATTGCACAAGATTATACAGGAAATATACTTGGACTAATCCAAATGCTGAACACAATACACCCCCTATTAAAAGACCGTAGAATTAAAAACAGGATCCGTAGATTATACAAGAAACTACTTAGGCAACCAACTACCGAAATTTCACCAAATTGGACCTCAGACTCAGACACATCACAGGTAAGTCTCATTCACGACTTGATACCTATATACAATATTAGCTATGAATAATATATTCCAATGGAATATTAATGGTTTTTACGCCCAACTTGAAAGATTACAACTACTAATTAAAAACTTCAAACCCATCGCCCTCTGCATTCAGGAAACTAACTTCAAAAATGACACTAACGGACAAATTACAAACTATCAATGCTTTGCTAAAAATCGCATCTCAAATCACGCTAGCGGAGGAGCCGCTATTTACGTCAAAAACGAAATAGCTGCCAATGAAATCCAACTACAAACTAATATCGAAGCAGTTGCCGTGCAAATATGTTACCCAGATAAATTATGTCTATGCAATATCTATCTCCCGAGGAGCTACGATTTCCAAATAAACGAAATTAAAGATCTCATCACACAATTACCTAAACCATTTATCCTATTCGGAGACTTCAATAGTCATAACACCTTATGGGGCTCTATCAAAAACGACATACGACGACAAAAGATTGGCACGATACTAGAAAATGACGATCTAACCCTCCTTAATACCAAACAACACACTTACTTCAATATTGCAAACGGTACCTTCAGTTGCATTGATCTAACAATCGCCAACACCAGCTATCCCCATAACCTAGAATGGACCGTACTTGATGACTTACACGATAGCGACCATTTCCCAATTAGTATACAATTAAGTAACAAACCCAAGGAACCAAATATTCACTCATTTGTCCCAAGGTGGAAATACAACAAAGCTAATTGGGAGTTATACAAAGATCGCTTGTCCACGTATTTATTCGATGCTGAAATTCTAGGCAAAATGAATAGGATTGATACAGCTATAGAAATGTTCTCCGATTGCATTAGTAAAGCAGCTAATGATGCCATTGAGACAAGTTCCCTGCCAAAAAAGCACAACCCTGTTCCCGGGTGGAACTCTCAATGCAACTCTAAACAAGCATTTAACCAGTTTAAAAAACATAACTCAGAAGAAAACAAAATTCAATTTAAAAGATTACGTGCAATAGCCAGAAGAACTATTAAAGAGAGCAAAAGAAACAGCTGGTTCAACTTTGTCGCAACTTTAACCAATAACATCAAGGTTAATGAGATGTGGAATAAAATCAACACAATCAGGGGTAATCGGAAGACTAGTCACACTCCATTTATAATCAACAATCTCAATAAGGTCATATCAAACCCACAAGAAATTGTAGATATCCTAGCATCGACGTTCGCGAAAAACTCTAGCACTACGAACTATCCAGAAGAATTCAGACAACAGTTAATAAATCAAGAGGAAAATGTAACCACTAAAACCAACAATTTCGACTGCACATATCTCAATGCCCCTATCTCAGAAAAGGAACTCAACGATGTACTTACAATCATCAAAAACTCTAGCCCAGGTCCCGACAATATCCCAAAATCTAATTAAAAACGTACCCACTATCGGAACTAAAACACTCCTTGAACTATTCAACACCATATGGTCAAACAACACCTTCCCAAAAAAAATGGAACGAAGCTACTGTTATCCCGATCCCCAAACCCAGCAAGGACCCCACTAAACCAGACAGCTATAGACCAATTGCCCTCGCGTGCAACATATAAAAAATTATGGAAAAAATCATCAATGCACGATTAAGGTGGTTCCTGAAATCTTATAAATTAATTGCACACAACCAATTCGGATTTCGCATAGGGCACTCCACCATATCACACCTGACCAGTCTGGAAACTCACATCCGAGAAGTATTCGCCAACAACCAACATACCCTAGCTGTGAGTCTGGATATAGAAAAAGCCTACGACATGGTTTGGAGGCGTCGAATTCTAAACAAACTTCAAGAGATGGGAATCTGCGGCAACATGTGGCACTTCATTAGAAACTTCCTCCACAATAGAAGTATTGAAGTTCGCTTCAAAGGCTATTTATCACACAAAATGCCCATCGAAAACGGCGTACCACAAGGCTCAGTACCCAGTGTTACGCTATTTCTAATAGCCATCAACGACGCCTGCAAAATCACTAAACTTCCTGTCATTACAAGAGTGTTCGCCGACGATATCACCATCTTATGTAAAGGGAAAAATATAAACACACTACAATTTTTTATACAACAGGCCCTCAAGCAGCTCCACGAGTGGGCCAAACGGAACGGCTTTAAATTTTCCCCTACCAAAACTGAATACATCCTATTCTCTAAACATTACCAAACCTACACGCCTACTCTGAAACTTGGAACAAATACGCTTCGATCTGTCTCAAGCACAAAAATCTTGGGTCTCATCTTCGACTCCAGATTAATCTGGAACCAACATATAGATAAATTAGTCGATAACTGCAAACACAGAATCAAAATAATCAAAGCACTTGCACACAATAATTGGGGAGCGGACAAAACAGTCCTCTCATTAACATACAAAGCGATAATCCGGTCCAAATTGGATTATGCGTCAGTAATATATAACTCCGCTACACCGACAATATTAAAAAAAAACTCAACGCAGTACATAATGCGGGATATTAAGACTAATAACAGGAGTATTCCACACAAGCCCAATAGGAAGTATAATGATTGAAGCAGCTGAAACATCCCTAGAATATAGAAGAAAACTTTGCAGTAAGGGCATCAATGTCCACCAACCCGATCATATACGACATCTTCCCGAGGAATACACAGAAAACTAAACGTCAAACTGATAACACTCCCCTGTACCAAAGAATCAAAAGATACCTCGACGAGCTCGAACTTAAATTACCAACCACCGAAAAAGATAGATTTTACAAAATTCCCCCATGGATACTAGTGACACCTAACATTGATCTATCACTCCAGGAAAAGAAAAAGGTAGAATCGACTCCTCAGGAATAGGGATGGCGTGAAAAATCACTAACATTGATTTTTCACGGTGATCACACAATCACGATCACAGTCGTGATTAAACTTCGATCACGACCGTAATCCGGAAGATAACGTTTCAGAAGCGGTTAATGTTAATTGTATGGTTAGTATCTCGCTGTCTCCCCTTAGCGGAAATGCAAGAAACTGCAAATGAATTAAATTTAAATTGTATTAAAATTATATTAACATTGCTTTTAGACCATATTATAATATATATACATATAATCTAAGAACAACATAATTCGTGAAAAGTGAAAAGAATGTTCTCTACCAATCAGAATCACGAGTGATTCAATCACGTTCATTCTCAATCACGATGATTTTTCACAGTGACTCGTGATTCTTCGTGATCGTTTCTGATTGGTAGTAGAGATGACTAGAACTGCTACTTGTGAATCACTCGTGATTCGATCACGTTCGTTGCCAATCACGGTGATTTTTTACAGTGATTCGTGATCGCTTCTGATTAGTGAAGAACATAACCGTTCCTTGCACGCTGTTAGAATCTTCAGCCTAGATGCAAATGCACCGTAATGAAAAACACCCTACCTGTATATTTTACATATATTCTACATAAGTATGTAATTAACATCATCGAAACAAAAATGCGAATTACCTACACCGCATAAAATAAAGTAAACTAAAGAATAGTAAATAAAGGAATGCTTTAATGAGGAATAGTGAAGAGTAATGAATATAAGTCAATAATTATGAATTGCAAGTCTTAGTTTAATTGTAAGTGTCTTTAGACTTTTACACAATGTAACATTTTAGAAAATAATATAATTAATATATAAAACATAATACGAATACTATAAATAAAATACAAAGAACAAAATAACAATGGAATAAAATATATATAATAACAAATAAGTAACTATGTATTGCTGTTCAAGAATAATAGCATAGATAATGTCTCTGTTTGCAATCCGTTTCTTTTTTCCGTTAAAAGTAATCCTGCTTTAGAAAATATTCTTTCGCATGGGACTGAAGTAGCCACCGCACAAAATAAATGATCTACTAATTTACTTAATAAAAGAAATTGAAATTGATATTATATGCGGATTTTTTATGCAAACTATGTATATTGAAACATTTTATAAAAATTAATTTAATTAAGATCGAAAATTGTGATCACGCAATTCTAGCAAGATAAAAGAACCACGATCACGCTCGTGTATGAAATTAAATCACGATCACCCTCGTGAATGAAATTAAATCACCATCGTGATCGTGATTTTGTGATCACTGTGATAAATAACGGTTAGTGATTTTGCACGGCATCTCTATCTCTAATTCATACGTGATAAAACAATTGATAATTGGAAATATGTAAAATGCAAGACTTATGCCCGATGTGTTTGAAAAATGGCGTAAAGAAGAAAGTAAAATTGTTGCAAATTAATTTACAAGAAGGTGTATGGGTATGTGAAGATGAAAAGGTAAAGTTTTGTATACATGATGTTCATATTCTCTCTTACGTTAGAACATGTTTTGCTGTTAATATTTTCATATTTCAATAGGAAATTCTGCTTTTCTTAGTGTTATTTACTAATATAATACATATAGTGAGTCAAAAAAGTATTGGCACACCCAGTTTACTTTGAATATCTTTAAACAATAACATAATCTATTAATATTAACTGTGTCTTTTGACACACATAAGTAGTATGCTTACTGAGAATTCTAAGCTATTTGTTATAAGGAAGTAAAGTTAAAAAAAGGACCAAACATCGATAGTCGAAAAAGTATTGGCACATGTACGATCCTGCTATAAGGACAAGTGTTACTTGCTTTCGTATGCAACAAATTTAGTTTTAGGAACATAAACATAAACAGAGGAAAGCACAGATGTGAAAATCACTTTTAGAACAATACCCTATGGAGGTTGTAGTACGCATATAAGCCTAAAGCAAGGTTCGTTAAGTACTTTGGTGGAATATCAGGTTGTAATGTTGCTGGCTCAAGTTCGAATCCTAATTAATGTTTCTTTTTCCAATTTTGTATCATAGAAATATACTTTTTATATATTACGTATTACATACTGTATAGTACATATTACCTTATGCATATTTTAAGGTTGAAATACATTTTTAACGTAACATATCATAGCGGAATACATACTTGCTGTGGGTGAGTAAGTCTTTACAACGATTTCAGTTTTTACATTTTATATTTCACAATGTTTCAAAAATTCTAAACAAAATTTAGAGTAATATAAGTTATAAAAACAGAAAAACATAAGAGATTTGGGGATCATGTACATTTTATTAATGCTGCTTTGTTAAACTTACAATACATCAAAGTGGTTGGAAAACATATTTCACTGACGTTTTTAAAATGTGGTTTTTTCATGTCAGATAATCCTGCCACGTACCAGACATAGAGGCAGGCATGAGACTTACTCACCCACAGCATATGTTACATTAAAAATTAATTTCAACCTTAAAATATGCGTAAGGTAATACATAATATACAGTATATAATATGTAATATATAAGAAGTATATTTCTATGATACAAAATAAAAGAAAAAACATCAATTCGGATTGAACCTGGGCCAACAGCGTTACAACCTGATACCTCTACCAATGTACCCAATGAAACTTGCTATATCCTTCTATTATACATCTCTTAAGAACACATGAAAAACTTTAAACCAAAATATCTTGAAAACGAAGGCCCATTCTGGAAAACGCCAAAATGGTTTTACAGTAGTACATGCATATTACAACCTTCATAGGGGTCAAAGTGATCTCCACAATCAAAGTGATTTCCACATCTGTGCCCTTTGTCAGTTAACACGTTATGTGTTTACACTTTGAACAATAATCAAGATTATGAAGAAGAGCGAGTTATAATTGTGCATGCAAAATAAAATTATTTCATTATACAAAAGTGGTGAAAATTACCGAAGAATCTGCGATTTATTAACTTTAAGTTTCTTGACAGTGAAAAATATAGTACAAAAATTTAAGGAAACTGGTAGCTTCGAAAATAAATCGCGATCTGGTCGTCCAAAAGTATTTACAACTAGAGAACAAAGAGATATCGTCAAAGAAGCAATGAAAAATTCTTTTGTAAGTGCCAAAAGTTTAGCTGTTGACATCACAACATATTCAGGAAAAGAAGTGAGTGCCCAAACAGTCTGAAATGTTTTACAATTTGTGGAAATTTATAATAGAGCAACGAGAAGAAAACCATCCATTAATGAGAAGAAGAAAAGAGAGAAATGGCTCGGGTTTTAAAAAATAAGAGTTGTGAGGAATTAATTACTTTTTTAATTAATTTCTGTTTTTACTTGACAATTAATAACAAACAATGTAATTCAAAACTATATAATTAAAATTGGATTAAGTCAATTAAATAGCTTTGAATTAATTTCTCTTAAATCAATCGTTAATCGAACGATTTTCGACTAATTCTACTTAAATTAATTGTCAATTGAATGATCTTCAATTAAATTGCTTAATTCAATTTTAATTAAATAATTTTCAATTACATTTATTTAAAATATTTATTAATGAAGTTGATTGAATTAAATTTGCTTAAATTAATTATTTAATTTAAAAATTGTAATTGATTATAATTCAAACCCTGGCAAAAATATATATGTATAGGTAAGACAATGGAATTTTTGAAAGACAGTTAATTTCTCAGATGATCGCAAAATTAATCTTTTTGGCTCTTATGGAAAAAGATTTGTATAGAGGAAACCGAACACCGAATTAAATCAAAAGAATATTATCTCTACAGTGAAAGACAGTGGTGGTCATATCGTGATGTGGGGCTGTATGTCATACCATTTGGTATACCAAATTTGGTTTTTATGGAAGTACAATAAATGCATGCGTCAACGAGTGCACCAAAAATGGGCATAAATGAAATGTTCCTTTTCTAACACGACAACGACTCGAAGCACATGGCAAGGAAAACAAAGGAATGGTTATTGTATAATGTACCTAAACAACTCCTTAGACTACTCCATTCGCCGGATATTAACCCAATAGAAAATCATTGGCATATTTTAGATTTAAAAAAGTAGTCTAACATTTCATCGGAACTTATGCAAAAACTTGTCGAATCGATTCCTAATCGATTACAGGCCGTAATTAAGGCCAAAGGCATGTACTCCAAATATTAAGTAGGTTCAATATTCTTCATATTGTTTATTATTGTACTTTCCTTAATAACATTGTACATGTGCCAATACTTTGTTGACTATGGATGTTTAGTTTATTTTACTTCCTTATAATAAATAATTGAGAAAACTCAGTAAACATAATATTTATGTATGTCAAAAGATACTGATAAACATAGTTAATATTAATAGATTACGTTATAGTTTAAAGATATTCAAAGGGAACTGGGTGTGCTAATACTTTTTTAACCCGCTGTAGGAATAATGAATCTTTGATGTGATCTTGTGTCACACATTTCTCTTAATATCTCAAGTGACAACTAAATAATTCAATTAATTTATTTTGTATTTCAGTGTGTATGGCCTTTCGGCTATGAAGATTTTGTATTTTATCATAGAGTAGTAGGAAAAATATGGTCTTGTTATTGGGATGATTGTAAATCAACATCAAAATTAAAAGAAGCTATTGCAATACCAACGAAATCAGCATTATGCAGTGCATCTACAACATCTGAGAATATGTCAAATGAATGTATTTCTAGTACTATTTTAGGTATGAATCATTCAGAAAGTATTGATAGAGTAAATAATAGTTCAAACACGATGGAAACAAGTACTAATCATGTACAAAATTCTGATGATAAAGAATCAAATATATTATTACACGTTAATAAGACAGAGCCATGTAATGTGAATAATAGTTTAAGCAAAATATCTACCACTGGTTTAAATTTAGATGACAGCAGTTTACAATTAGTTAATAACAGCACAAAGAATATGAAAATTGAAAATGAATTTGTAAATTCATTGGATGTACATGTTAAAGAAGAAAAAGTTTCTTGTACACAAAATATTAACAATTTAAGAGGAATTCCTAAGATAACAAACATTGAAAAAACAAATATTGATATTTCTAATATTGTAATAGGGAATAAAAATTCTGTTAACAAAGATTTAGATACAAAGATTTCAAGTATTAATAAGACTGCAGATAATATAGGAGGAAAATTAACCTTAACAAATAGTGAACTATTTTCCAATGATTTATTAGAATCTGAAAAAGTAGTAAATTCGATACCACTTGAAAATAATCAACTTAATAATGAAGTAACAGCAACAAAATCGAATTTAAATGTAACTATGATGGAAATAGATGGTTTGCCACCAATAACATTATCTTTTGAAATTCCTGCAAGTACAATTCCTGAAACTGTAACGTCTAGCACACAACAAACAAATAACATAAACAATATTCCTGGATGTATAATTAATGCAAAATCAAATATTTCAAATGTGGAAAGTATGTCTTTAATACGAAATGTAGCTAGTGGTAAACAGTATGCAAAATTCAGTTTTAATGCTCTTAAGAAAAAAACCGAGCTAAATAATTCTGTTCATACTATTAATACTGATTCGTTGAATACAAAATCAAATACTAAAATCCGAGATGTAGAAAATGAAGTAGAAAATTGTACAAAGAACGAAAATACAAATGAATATTTTATTTCAAATCAAAGTAGCAATTCTATAACAACAAATAATTTTCTAAGTCAAGAAAATATAACATCTTCAGGAAATACTAGTGTCAATATAAATACTGTCTTAGAAGATTTTTTAAGGGGTGATTATAGTGTTTCTGAAGATATAAACGATGAATGGCTAAATTCATTATTGACTGAATAACTCGAAATGTAAATCACAATTTGTGTCTTTACTAAAGCATTATTAAACATTATTACTGTCGCTTTATTTGTTTATGAAAAATATTCCTATATTATAAACATAGAAGTTAATTAATTTATTATGTTTAAATCTACGAAGAAGACGTAATATTTACAAATGTATTACATACATATATATTCAATACGAAAATATTTCTGCAAATGATTACATTACTTTAAAGAATTTCGTTTGTGATATTTTTATAATGTAATACAATGAATATAAATTATCAGTTATACTCAATTATGTATGTTAAATTTAATATTATAAATTTGTAATACATGAAGTATAAATTATTATACAATATTACAACACATTGTTACTATGTGATATTTTATATATTTAAATTTGCATGTTGCAATCTTATTTTTATTATTGTAGTGAATACGATTCCTAGGATCCATTGGAAAACACAACTCAAACATATGTAAGTATAGTCATTTTATTTAGATACCTCACAGATACGAATATAAGAATAATCTGATTTGTATACAGTTCTAAAGTAAAGGTAAATATCTGTTATTTATTATCTTCCTACCTTTTTAGAGAAATAAGTAAAATCGAAAAATTTGGAAGGCTTGTATTCTAAATTATAATTTATATTACTGTATTAAAGTTTCATTCTAAATCCTTAAACTGTAAATTAATATAAATTTTGTGATTTTATTAACATATCTTGCGATAAAATAATGTGTTTATAATTTATAAGAAATTTATATCATATACATATATTACAATATTATACAACTTATAAATAAATTATCATGACAACAGATATCATTTTTATAATATTAACAGGACTATGATCGTGGTTCATTCAAGATATTGTAATTGTATATATTTTCAAAATACTTATAAACTTTTACTTGCAAAACATGTTTTTAGAGTATTCATAATTTAAGAGATGAATGTAATAATTGAATAAACTGTTTAAAACTCAAGAGAATCCCTATTAAATCCGCATTTCAACAATACTCCCAAAAATATATAAACATAGCCAGCTGCCAGCTGTTTATAAAACTAATAAAGAATTATTTTTAAAGTTGTACTTGGTAAATTCTATGAACTTTTACGTAAAATAAAAAAAAAATGAATCATAATAAATAGTCAAAATTCTTATAGCATACAAGAAAAGTGTTATACAATATAAAATACTTTACCTAAATGATTTCATTAAGAGATATGCTTAATCAATTGAATAATGACTTAAAATATGAAATAAACATAAAATATTAAAAAATAGTTGCAAAAAATATATTTATATATTACAATTATAGTGAATTGTAAAACAAAATGCTAATTTACGATTCAATTAAAAGGTGTTTACAGCTTTCATGCATTCAGCTCTTTTCTTTTACAATTTTTATTTTTCGACCTAAAAGATCATATTTGGAATGATTTGGCTCTGGATCTTGATCTGTGTCAGAACTACAATCACTATCGCTAGAATCTTCATAAGAACCAAGACCAGGAAGAATTCCAATACATTTCATGCCTCCTATATCAGGCATTATGTTTTTACTTTCTAAAGAGACGTCTTCTAGCGTACTGATATCAGACTTTTCAATTACTTTCTGCTCATTAACCGGACAGTCTTCATTTTCGGGTACATCTTTGTTTTCATCGGATGGTAACTTTCGCTTAACACCCCGTGAAACTTCTGGATATATAACAAAATTACATTAAAATAAAAAAAAAACATTCAAATTTTAACTACTTAAAATTGTAGTTTCATTATTAATATTATTATTATTACTATTATTATTACTACTACTATGGATTATAATTTATAATAATAAAAATTTAATATGATGTTACCCTGCTTTTGCTTTTCAGAACGCTTCACTACAACACCAGCCAATAATTTTAACTGTGATGTGCGACTGCTGAAATTAAGTCATGAAATTAATGAAGGATTAAAAGTATTTATTAAAACATCATACTATAAATTGAATCTTCATTACTATATAATCACAAGAAAGCTAATTATTAAAAATGTATGCCAAAATATTACCTTCCAGAAGAAACACTTTTATTTACAATTTGTGGATTTTTTAATTCTTGCTTCAATTTTTCATTTAATGATTTTTCTTGTAGCGATGCAACAGCTGCTTTAAAATCGCGCATTTCTTTTTCTTCTTCAAGATTTTTTTTACGTTCTTCTTCTAATTTAGTTCTATCTACTAGATCCAAGAATTCTACCTCATCGTCATCTAAACCTTTTATCATATTTTCTAAAATTAAAGATATGATTGTTTAAAGCAAAAGAAGATATAATCCACTTTTTTTATAAAATATTAAAAATGTAGTTCAATATATTTATGTATAACTACATTTTTGTATTGTTAACCTACTTAATTTATGTGCCTCTTCATATTCTGCATCTCTTTTAGTTTTTTGTTCTTGTAGCCGTTCATATAAAGATCTTGGATCATACGATTCTTCTGGAGCTTCTATAAATTATGTTAATTATATGAAATTATATTCTTGAATAAGTGTAATTTATATATTTTGTAAATAAATTTATTACATTATTATTATAATTCCCAAATAGCAAAGTTGTTGCAGCAATAATAATGTAAACTTTCATATAAAAAATCTTAAAAATTAGAAATGTTTTAAATATATTGCTTAGGAGAACCACGAACATAGATGAATTTATTCATTATATGAAAACACTTAAGAAAACACAATTAAGAATAAAATAAATAATAAGAACCTATTGGCTGATCTGCAGTTCGTACACGTTCCCACTCTTGCTGCCTTATCCTTCGTTGTTCAGCAATTTCAGCTTCTGATATAAATCCTGAGCTCATTTTGAACTAGAAAGGAAATTATATTTACAAAATTATACTCTAAATTCATTGGGCAACTGAAAGTATTTTATATGATAAATATAACTTAGTTTTTATTATATTTCAAATTAATGTTCTTTATATAAATAATACATATTCATAATTAATATTTAACGATAAATTCTACTTATTTACTAATGTCAAAGTAAAATAATTAGTACTAAGCGGAACATTTTTAAAAAGTCTATGTATGTATAGTTATATTGAAAACAAGAAGTGAAGGTTACTGTTAGAGTTTATCTATATAAGTACTATCATATATTATTGTATACTTATTGTATGATATAAAGTCTATAATACACACACGAATGTTATTGAAAATTTGGAGAAAATATTATTAATGTTATCTTTGAGAATGATAATGTGATAAATTATGTGACAGATATTAGTATACAACAACAATAGATTTCTTACACGCTTTTCTGAGATGTCTGATTTTAGAAATGTTTAATATTTACTACGATGTTTATAATTAATATTTAACGATAAATTCTACTTATTTACTATTGTTTGCCTCGTACTATTGTTAAAGTAAAATAATTAGTACTAAGCGGAACATTTTTAAAAAGTCTATGTATGTATAGTTATATTGAAAACAAGAAGTAAAGGTTACTGTTAGAGTTTATCTATATAACAAGTACTATCACATATTATTGTATACTTATTGTATGATATAAAGTCTATAATACACACACAAATGTTATTGAAAATTTGGAGAAAATATTATTAATGTTATCTTCGAGAATGATAATATGACAAATTATGTGACAGATATGAGTATACAACAACAATACATTTCTTACACACTTTTTTGAGGCATCTGATTTTAGAAACGTTTAATATTTACTACGAATTATTCACTCCTCGTAATGAAATAAGTATTCAAATTTAATACAAACGCTTTCCAAATTCTATATTGGATACCTTAAAATTATGGGTTTCCAACATTAAATCAACTTTAGTGTTAACATTATCTACATAGTAATATTTGGGAGCTTCAGCACATATAAAAACAAATCTTTTAAGTCTAGTAATGAATAATTCGTGCAATTCGTCATAAAATGCTGCACGATAACATTAATGTTTTCAAGTCATCAATCGAAGAGAAATATCTCTTTAATACTTTCTAAACGATTGCGAGGTTAATCTCTAGATAGAAGTTGGAGTGATTACAATTGTAGAATTTGAACGTTAATTATTTAATTGTAAACAAACCAATTACTTTGTACAATCGTATTTATAATCACATAAAATGGAACAACTGTTTATAATGTCATCAACGTGTATCACGAAAACGATATTTCAGACACTGCAAATTGCTAGGAGTTACCGAATTATGACTACATATATATACATATACAGGGTGTCCCAAAAATGTTGTAACACCTTGAAAGGGGCGGTTCGGGAGGTGATTTGAAACAACTTTTTCCTTAGCGAAAATATTGTCCGAGGCTTCGTTGAGGAGATATTAACAGAAAACCCCGACCAATCAGAGCGCGCGTATACCGTTGGAGCAGCCGTGGTAGCGAAGCCTACGCGTTAGGGGCCGCGGTCATACGCTACCGCGGGCGCTCCACCGGCATAGTCGCGCTCTGATTGGTCGGGAAGCGCGGCTGCCTCGCGCTCTGATTGGTCAGTGTTTTTCGTTAATATCTCCTCAACGAAGCCTCGGACAACATTTTCGCTAAGGAAAAAGTTGTTTCAAATCACCTCCCGAACCGCCCCTTTCAAGAGTTACAACATTTTTGGGACACCCTGTATATGCACATGCGTACAAACTTTAAAAGATTTGCATAGCATCAATTGGTAAGAATATTTATAAACACATCATGCACAGTTCAGTTAACCTTGATTATAAAATAAATTATAAAATAAATAAATTAAAATAAATCATTTGAAAATATTCAATTTATAATGTCTTTTGTCTTGAAATATTATAGGATTACGTAACTCATGTTTCTACGTAATGTGACATGTAACTTACAATTGTTAAGATTCACTTTCAGTTGTAATTTCATTCCTGTTTAGCACATAAATACCTATAACAATAATACAATTTTAAAAAGTGAACAAAAAGAATAACAATAAATTTTAAATAACACATATATAGAAAAATGAGAAACATAGTGGACATATGTATATTACATATTGGTAAAACAAAAACTGTTTTTTTTTAGTCAGCAGTAACGAAACTTCTCCATATTCAAAAAAAAGATATTTATGAAATTGAAAGACACAATATAAAGTGTTCTTAAATCCTTATTTTTTAATTTCGAAAAGTAATGCAAATGAATATGAGTGACATGAAAAAAGTAAAATCTTACACCATCATTTTTATAAATTGTTTCACATGTTAAAGGAAACTCTGGAAAAAAATTGTTATTTACTAAATAACGATTGTGTCAATAAATTGTAAGTAAAATTTAACAATTGTGGACAGAAAAGAAGAAAAATAACAAACAAGTCTTTCAAATATTTTTATTTTTTTAACAAATTATACATAGGTTTCTGGGAATTCAAATGTTACATCCCGACCTGTTAGTTTTTTATATACTGCAGCAAAAGTATCAACCTGTCAAACAAAATAGTAAATTAAATGTCTAATAATATTTACTTGTAGAAAACGCAATTAGGTATAATAAATACAATTGCAAAAATATGTTGCTCGATTACTATATATATATATATGGTGCTCTATTACTCTACGCTATTTATGTAATTAACAAATGAAAATGCTACCTCACTAAAATGTATTTACCTTATGCTCAATATTTGTTTGCTCATTTTTGTCCAAATGAACTTTGATCAGCTGTGTACCATCTAGTTTAATTCTGATACGTTTGCCAACGATCTCTACAGGATAGACCAAGTCCTCTAATAATGCATCATATACTGCAGTCAAGGTACGGCTAAAATTTTGTTTATTATATACATGTTATTAATTCACATCTTATTATTTGTATATATGTAATATCATTAATATGATTCAATCTATTACCAGCCAGTTGTAAAAAAATTAATGATATTACATTTTTTTAAACTCTGACATTTTAAGAATACTATTCTAAAATAGGAATCATTCTAAAATTTTAAGCATATATTTCTCGTAATTTTTAAACTTGCAAAGTGAAGGTGAATTTTATATTTTTTATATAAATTAATATTTTCTTATAAAAATTGTCAGAAATATTGTTCAATGTATTCTTCATATATCAGAAAAAATGTTTAAATATCAGTATCTTTTTCTGATCTAAAAGTAGAGCTCACTTAATAGCGGTCTTTAGTTAATAGTTAATACCTTCTTGGCCTCTTTTGCTTGTTCTTAGTACGTGTTTTCCTTGTTGGTTTGGGTAAAATTTTACGTTCACCAACAAACATGACATGTTTGCCAGAAAATTTCTTTTCCAGTTCACGTACAAGTCTGATTTGAATTTTTTGGAAAGCCTTCAATTTTGGCATAGGTACGTATATAATAATACACTGCAACAAATATTATTTCTTATTAACCTAGAGTAACATTACAAATGGACATTATTTTAAGTACTGTATGTTTATATGGTATTTTCATTACAGAAATGTAATGAATACAAAGTCATTAAAAATTGTTGATACTATAACGTTACTTTACCTTCTTGTTATTAGTTTCTATTTCGCGTGCTTTAGTGATGTAGAGTTCTCTCAGCTGTGACTTTAAATCACTATTCATTTCCAGCTCCAAAAGAGCTTGGGAGATACTAGCTTCGAACGCATCAGGTTCAGCTCCGCCGCTTTTTATTATTTTAGCGTTAGCCGTGAACATCTGAAACAAAGTTTGAAGGTTAAGATACTGTTTATGTATAGCTCGCCGATTTTACATTACATTTGTATTTGATAATAATTTTATTCGCAGCAGAACTTTTATTCGGAACGTATAACACACAGAAAAAGGCTGTTTCAGAAACAACTTAGTAAATCACAATATGCTGTCAAATGTCTCAAGAAGATCTATCAAATAAAATCCAATTTTATCAAATTTCCTAATTGCAATCCAAGAAAAAAACTCAATTTATTTAATAAATTGCAATGCTGCGAACATCATGCAAAGTAACATTTAATGTTTTTTTATTCATTTTAATCCTGTTTTTAGTTAATATCCAAATTCTTAATCGCGTGTACCTTGACGATATCCAGACCGCGTGAAAAGGACTCGGAAGCGGTTAGATAGAAGTGCCAACTGTTTAATATACAAAATGTCCCTATTTATTCCAATAATCTGTTTATTATTATTCAATATACAGGGTGTCCCAAAAATCTTGGAGGTTCTTGAAAGGAGTGGTTCGGGGGTGATTTGAAACAACTTTTTCCTTAGCGAAAATGTTTACCGAGGCTTCGTTGAGAAGATATTAACAGAAAACTCCGACCAATCAGAGCGCGCGTATACCGTTGGAGCAGCCGTGGTAGCGAAGCCTACGCGCTAGGGGCCGCGGTCATACGCTACCGCGGGCGCTCCACCAGCATAGTCGCGCTCTGATTGGTCGGGAAGCGCGGCCGCCTCGCGCTCTGATTGGTCAGTGTTTTTCGTTAATATCTCCTCAACGGAGCCTCGGACAACATTTTCGCTAAGGACAAAGTTGTTTCAAATCACCTCCCGAACCATCTCCTTCACGGTGTTACAACATTTTTGGAACACCCTGTATATTTAATACTTTTTCTCCTCGTCAAACAAAATATAATAATTGCATTCTGACATCTTCCTCATATCTGTGTTTTTTATTACAAATAATGTTTTTATTTATGGCGAATCATGAACAGAATGAAAACATATTCGTGAATAACATAGTTTTATTGGACACATTTTAATATTTAGATATTTTGATAGGAAGGAGAATTTAGAATAAATGTTTGGTAATTTGTTTCTTCTTGGATTCGGTAAATTTTCAAGAAATAATTATGTTGCGGAACGCGTCGTGCGGTGATAGGGAATTTTCTGACGTGGGTAAGGTGCCCGTGGAACGCTGAACCGCTCTGCCCGGAGAGGCGCGTGAAATAAAAATTCGAAATACTTTTAGGAAAAAGCAAAGACGTTTATTCAGTCGACTCGTTTGGTTTAAATCGTTTCGTAGTTCGTTACCAGAGGTTCGATTACGATTGAACTCTCCGGAAAAATCCTCGCTCGATCTGTTGCTTCTCTCCCTTCTCCGGAAGATTCCCGATCCTCCCTTCGGGTTGTCCTGGTCCAATCGGCGGTTGCGCCCTACTCCTTCTATCGGTCATCTTCATCGATCTCGGATCCACCCCCGAGTCGGGTGGAGGTGGGAGTCGCGCGGCCATGTTTGTGCAGGGCTACATGTGAAAAGGGAAAGCGCGGAGGTCTCGAGAGAGAGAAACAGCGCCAGCGAGACACAGCAACCCTTATTATCCTCTTGAAGAAGTCGCCGGAAACGCGAACCGAGGTACAGCGCGAGTTTGTTATTTTCAAGGATCTTACGAGCTGGAACAAAAGCTAACTCGACTCGAATTCTAAAGAAATGCATTCCAACGGAAACGGCGATTCGACACGGCCTATAATGAATCTATTAAGTATTTTCAGCGAACGTTCCCTTTTCTCTCCTGACTTTCGACTTTCCCTCGCTTGATCACCCACGTTGAATGTTTTAACAATGTACGTGGCGGTTCGTTGATTCCGCGTTGTGGCGCTACATGCCATGAAGCTAAGTTCACGTGATAGCGTAACAATTACTTTTACCACCCGATATCTGGTAATTTCATGTTTAAATGGTACATACTTGCGTCTGTAGCATTCTTCAAGGAGTTTGGTGGCGCCATACGGTATCCAACTATGTAATTGTATTTTATCATTTAAGGTTAGGTTATATGCGCCATGTAACTATATTTAAAGTGGTACACGAAACTGGTTTATGAATTTGTAAATTAACATCAGAAATATGGAAAATTCGGAAAGACCACAAGAACAAAAGACATCGTCTCCAAAGTTATTTGGAGTACCAATTATTCAATCAGAGTGTCAACGAAAGTCTTTCTTGTATGGTATCACTGGTGGCATAACCTGTGGGTTAATAGCATTTTTATTTACAAGTCAGCCAAGATATTCTACACATGTAGGAATGGGCGGTTTCGCAGTAATAACGCTTAGTTTTGCGACTTATTGCCTCTACGGAGAGTATAAAATGATGAAACAAGGAAGGATGATTCAAAGAGCCTTGTATGAGACATCGTTGGAAGTGAAAGCTAAGCAGAAAGAATCAGAGGATTCGTTAAATATAAAATTGGAAAGAGCTTAAAGTAGATATTCTTCTTTATGAAACCAATACATACATATGCGTGTATGGCTTTGAATATTTATTACAGTGAATAGTGTAAAAACAGCCATGTATTACAACTCCTAACTTATGTACATAAATATTGCAATATTTTATGAAAACGAACAATAAAATTGTATAAAATCATTTGAACTTTTCTGTACAAGAATGTAAATATAAATAATAGGAAGTAAATTTAGAAATATTATTTTATAGTTTAATTAAATTTAAAGTCATGGTTATGGATATCTTGTTCTTTATAAGTTAAAAGTTTTTAAACATCAGAAAGTTATAAAAATAAAATTTTTTATTTCATCTTAAAAGTACGTAATCAAACCAGGTCCTTTTTTTATGCTTTTAATTAATGTTCCAGTAAGTGTTTATACTATAGTCTAGAATCTAGACCTTTGACTATATTGTATACACGAATCTATGAATCGAAGTGAAGCAAAGATAACAGGAAAAGATGCCTTCATGTGATGTCACAAGATAATATTTCTAGATCGTTCAAAACTATTTTATTTTGTAACCAATAATTATAAATAAATAACTTTACTATTGACATTTGTGCATTGCTTTTACTATTTTTTAAACTAAAACTAGTTACAAGGGAATAATATTATAATTTAAATTTAATATCAAAATTACAATTTTCAAAATACGTTATGATAAATATCATTTAAAATTACACGAGTTAAAATTAACAATTAATAAAGCAAAATATATATATACTACAGACTCAACGACGAAGTTCGATATATTTTGTTTCGCAAGAAACAAGAAATTACATTATATTTCTCGAGAATTTAAGAAAACTTAAATAATATTCCCAAATTTATATTTACAGGATAAGGTTGAAAATATTTAAAAGCAACAAAACTTTAAGTGAATGTTCATTCCTGTCTACTCTACATACTGTAAATAAAGAAACAGACATGAGATATAATTGATAAATTTATTTATTTAATGCAAAATTTGAACATATTAATTTTTTGTTTTAAAATAATTTTTTAAAAAGCATGAAGCATTTATCGTAGCGTCAGATAATCTACTTCTTTTTTTTCATTTTGAGTTTTCCAATTGACTAAAAAATATGAAATTCCTTTTTGTATAGTTTGAAATTTATTTTCCTTTTGATTGGAGCTAAATCCTTGGAGGCTATCTACAATTGCTAATACTAATTGTTTTTGTAATGATAATTCTTCATTTTTTATGTGTAAGTGTTTCGGTATTCTCAGAAGAATCGTGGATATTATTATATTTTCCGAAAACCTTACTTAGAATGTGTTTGACCGTTTTATACATATGGCTTGGAAGTCGGTTTAAAAAACATGCAAATTGAATCTTTTTGAAAAGATTCTGGATTATGTAAAATTTTATAAGGGATACAATGCTCTTATCTCTTCTTTTTGAAATTTCTTCTTTAAGAACAACAAGAAATTCATTACTTAATTCAGTATTCAGTTTTTCCAAAGTCTTAGATAAGAATTAATAGCACCTTCAGTAGTTAATAGTGTCAAATCTTCTCTACTGAGGTTTTCTATTGTAAGTCTTATAGGTTTTAATGTTATTAGTAAAATTTCCGCAAATTTAATACATTCATCATTCCACATGTAATTTAAATTCAATTCAGTCAGTACTTTTTTAATTGGATTCCGTACTCTCAGAAATCGTCTAATCATAATCTCTATAGTGTTTCACCTGGTCTTGCAATACAAAATAAGCTTTAATTGTATATGTTCTTGTTGTATATATTTTTGTAGAATATCATTCTTCACCTGTGATTTCTTGAGCACTTCTACATTTTTTCTTGTTGCTGTGATTGTTTCGTTGATGGTTGGTTGCAACTGTACATTTGAGGTTTCTATTGTTTTGAAACCAGAATATGAATTAGCTGAATCGTTGTTGTCATTTTGAGAGAATCTATAACAAAATTCCTGGTATGCCGTGCAGTGGAACAAAATTGCTCTCTGTGATTAAAAATCTGTAATTTTAATTCTACTGGAGATATTTTAATGATATTTGGACGAGTTATGCTCCATATTATGGCCTTTAAGTTATATTAATCTAGAATATTCATATATAAAGTACAGCGTGTTGAATATCTCAACTATATGTTATATACTTTATGTTTTATAATTAAAATTCATTTCAAATCTGTTAATAAATGCGAAAGAACAGAATTCAGTTACTTAAAAATAAATTCACACATGTTCTAACAATAGAAATAGGATAATGTGAGTGTAAAGTCAAAACACTTAAGACACATGTAATGAAACAGAGTTTATGCTTTATTATTTTTTTTTTTTAAATTATAGTACACATATTGTTTACAGTAACACAATGATACATTTGGATAGTTAAGTACAACATAATTCGTGAAAACTGATTCATCAAACATGGAGAACTGTCTTGCCACATTTCAAGCAAGCCAAAGGCAGACCAAATAAAACTTTTGATAATTGTTCGATAGTCACCAAAAGACAGAAGTTAAGACAACATAATGAAAATTTGTCAACTGATATCATGAATCAGGCACTTTGTCAATGTTATAAATCAGAAAAACAATATGAAAAGGTATCCATTGTAAAAGCTATCGATAAAGCTGGTCCCGATCTTCAAACCAAAATTAAGGACTGCATTCGAACTTCAAAAGACGAGCAGTAAAAATTGTTCCTGGACTTGGGACTTTCAAAAGATAAATATATTGTGCTACGAAATGAGTTGAAGAAGAGAAAACATTACACGTTACCTAGTTACAATAAAATTATTCAAGCCAAAAATAAAT